CCCCCAGTGATCCCAGTTACCAAGTGATCTCAATTGTCCCCAGTGATCCCACTTGCCCCCAAGTAATCCCAGTTGCCCCCTCAGTGATCCCAGTTGCCCCCAAGTCAATCCCAGTTGCCCCCAAGTAATCCCAGTTGCCCTCCCAGTGATCCCAGTTGCCCCTGAGCAATCCCAGTTGCCCTCCCAGTGATCCCAGTTGGATCCTGGCTGCTCCCAACTCACATTAGGGCCGGGGGGTCCGACGCGTCCGGCAGCTCCGGGGAATCCGGTGGCTCCCTGGGGAAGGAGGAGGAAAAGGTGGCTCAGCCCCCCTCCCAAACCCCTCCCCACACCCCCCCAGCCCACCCCCCAATACTCACAGGGGGTCCTTGAGCACCCCGGGCTCCTTTGGGACCAGTTACACCAGTTGGACCCTGGGGAGAGGAGGAAAACCAGTGAGAGACACAGGAGGGGGGTGGAGGGAGTAGCATTTCCCCAAATTCCGAGGGGAAAGGGGCCACACCCTCATTTTTGGGGGGCTCTGGCTGTACCCACCTGAGGGCCAGGGGCTCCAGAGGGACCTTGGGGACCAGGGGCACCGGCGTCACCCTTCTGGCCAGGCTCTCCCTGCTCGCCTTTGGCACCCGGTTGTCCATCAGCGCCCTGGGGGGAAGGGGCTGCTCTCAGAGGGTGGAGCCCAAACCGGGGGCACCAGGACCCAAACTGGGGTACTGGGACCCAAACTGGGGTACTGGGACCCAAACCTGGGGGCACCAGGACCAAATACTCACTGGGGGTCCGGCAAATCCAGCGGGACCGGGGGCTCCGGGCTCCCCACGCTCCCCCTGAGGGGAGAGATGGGAGGTAGATGAGGGGGAGGAAGTCGAGGAGGAGGGAAATGGGGTAAATAGGGGGGTAAATGAGGGGGTAAAGGGAGTAAGAGAGGGGGTAGATGATGGTGGTAAAAGGGGTAAATGGTGTGGTAAATGAGGGGGTAAATGAGGTAAATGGTGTGGTAAATGAGGGGGTAAATGAGGGAGATAAAGGGGATGAATGATGGGGTAAATGAGGTAAATGGTGGGGTA